AGTGACTTAACTCAATGAAAATATACTGAAATGTTTTCATATCATATGTTGAAAATGTCATTATTGAAAATCTAAGTTGGTCCATGTATACCTTCATTTCACATGATTTCTGTTAATATCCTGTTAGTTACTAAACAGAGAAGTTTCACTTAGCCTAAAAAATAACATGAAAAAACCATAATATTTAAACAAAATGTATAGCATACCAAGGATCGTTTCCTATAATTATAACCATGTCATAATTAGCAAATAGAGCTTCCCTTCAATTATATCAAAATTCTTAACAATTTCTTACGTTCTTTCCTATATCTTCTCATTCTCAAAAAAAGCAAGTATCATAAAAACTTTAGATTATAAAGCAGTCATTTTTATGAGCATCTTTACAAAGATCTCTGAAATCTCATGAAGCCCTTCTGTATTCAACTCAAAACTAAAATCATCTCAAAGGTCCCTCAGAGTGCTTCTGTTCTGAGGGCAAACAAGTATGAACCGAGACCTGGGTTCAACGTTGGCTCTGCCATTACTAATCATTTACCCTTGGAGAAGCTAAGTAACCTCTCTAAACCTTCGTTCCCTCCTCTGTAAAATGAGGATAATGATGACGCCTACTTCATGGGGTTGTTGTGTAGATTAAATTATGTTTCTAAAACACCTCTTAAGTAGACATTCAACAAATGGTAGCTATCATTATTACAAAAACCAACCATAAATATAGTTAAGTATAAGAGATATTTCAAGAATCCAGAGACCTTAGATTACTGTCTAGACTACATTACTATACATAATAATTACTCTGAAAACTATACTTATTAATATAACAAAAATACACTAAAATTATTTTTTTTTTAACTTGGATTGTTCTTTCTTTTTTTTTCTGTGCTAGTCTAAATAGTTCAGCTCCAGTGTATCTGAATGACTGGATGCATTTCCCACCTGCCACCCTTATCTCTGGCCTATTTTAGATACCAGTTTAGCAAGAACTGGAGATGGAGAGTCTTCTGTGAGGTTTACTTTCAGACTGTAGATTACAGTGGGAGTGAAATCCTATTTCTTACCAGGTATTTGTGGGTAAATTTTTTCAATCACGTATTCTCTTAAATTCCTTGGCATTTCTCCTCGAATGTCAACAAGTACTCGAGTTTCATTGGACGAAATCTGATAGATGAGAACTGGACTTGGATTAGCTAAAACAAGTTCAGCATGATTTGCTTTAAACTGTGGTGCATTCTAGAGGGAAAAAAAGACTTTTTTAATAATTTTCAGATTTCACGTCGCTTTTATGTTTCTACAATCACACTCCTACAGTACCTTCATAAGAAAACCAACAAAATGAGATGAAACAGAAACTTGACTGGATATTAGGTTTTTCCTGAACTTGGAGAAAAGCCCGTCTGCAACAACAGTCAATGGAGCGTGGAGTTCCTATAACAGAGATAAAGAATACTCAATAAAAGGCTAGAAATACACAGTAATAGAAATACTCTCTAAAACTGTACATGAACAGATTTAAATATGTGCTTGATAACATTATAGAAGGTATTTGAAGATAATGTTATTGAAGAAGCTGTTATGTGGCGCTTAAGTTAAGGTAGTACCAATCTTTAAAGACACATCCTCTGAGTCCCTGAAGGTTATCTTCCTTCCCACTATACTATTCAAACCATCTAGGATTACCCTCCACTTTTATGAGCAGGAGGGGAAACAACTACAGGACAAGCCTGAACCACAGATGGCTGAATCTCATTATAAATTCCAAAGACTAGCCAAATTCTTTTATTCTAGAATTTTCTAACTTCATATAGTGCTTTCAACCAGTGGCTAGAGCTTAGAAGAATTTTTGTACACATGGATGTATATAGTTATATTACTACACAGAGAAATCTCCCTCATTAGAGTATAATATGGAACAGCCAGAAAAAATCAACAGATTAGCCCTTGGCCCTTTCTCTTCTTTTGGCTCAGGCCAACATGAACATATACTGGAAACTATTTTAGTTTGCCATTTCGCCAAAGATTCTTCTATCTTTTGCCTTTCTGATTTAAACAACTGTTTGTTTTAGCCTAATCATTTCTTTTATGTTGAATTTTTCCTTTTCTCCCCTTGCAGTTCCTCTCTGCTTCTCTATTACAGTATGTATCTCATTTCAGTTTTTTAAGTTATGTGTACATGATGTCTCCCATATATTTTTGTTCAAGTACTTTTTTTAATTGTGGTAAAATATACACAACATAAAAGCTGCCATTCAAACCATTTTCAATTGTACAATCCAGTGCATTAATCACACACACAGTGCTCTACAACTATTATCACTATCTGTTTCCAAAACTTAACCATCACCCCAAAGAGAAATTCTCTCATTTTAGTTTTTAATAATGTTAATATAGTGGTATTTGTTTAAATGTATTTGTATAGCATTTTGAGGTGCTCTAAAGAGCAATGTGTTGTGATCTTGATATTCATCAGTCCATTTCATGAATAATAAATTGATGAGCCTGCTTTTTTTTACAAGGGGTAGAAGAAAACAGAATCTCTTGGGAAGAGATGATATTTGATAAATCTTACCTTGATGGCTCCCGTTTCTTTATCCCTATACTGAACTCCCATCACAGCATCATCTTCCTCTAGTAACTGGAGCACAATGCCTTCAATGAACTTCGCACTAAAGGATAAATAAACAAATTTCTATCGCAGCACACTTGAACAATTTAAATTAGATATGACAAAGTCCTTATTTTCCTTATTTAGCTTACCCATGTATCATAGACAATTTTGCAAATATTACTAAAATTAACAAATAAAACCATACTGTTTTATCATTTAAAATCTAATTATCCTAATGATACTCTACTCTTGTATAATTTTAATTAAAATGAATTTATTAAAACTGGACAAAGGCCAGTCACAATGGAAAAAATACAAATGTCCATAAAATATTCGGAAAAATTTACAACTTCACTACTAATGATAAAAATATGTATTAAAACCAAAAACTACCACTTATGCCTAGCAAAAAGGCAAGTTTTAAAACAAAGTAAGACTCAGTTTTGGCAAGAGTTCAGGAAAAAAAGGGCATTATCTTTTGATCATCACAGGGAGTAACTTGTAAAATTCTGCAATAATGATGATGATAGTAGTAGGATTTTTGCCTGCTTAAACTCGATGCCAGACAAACACTAAGTTCTTTACCTATATTATCTCATGTAATTCTCGCAACAACCATTTTGGGTAGATTTATTATTTCCATTTGTCAGAGAAGAACACAAAGTCTCAAAGATACAAAATAACTTGCTAGAAGGTTATGAAACTTGTAAATGACATACTACTACTACTATACTACTATTCTACTATTCTACCTCCGTCAGTCAGCTTGGGAGGCTGTTATCCAACAATTCTACTTGTAGAGACTGTGTCAACTTTGACATATTAGGATGTTCGATGCAACATAATTTTATTAATACTCAAAAAGCGGAAACAGTGTAATGTCTAACAAATAAATGGTATTTCAATAAATAAACAGCAGGGAATGCTAGGAAACTATAAAAATCATGCTCCAAAAAATACTATATATTCACATATTTGTGTCTACACAGATGTGCAGAGAAAAAGGTTTGAAATGACAGAGCAAAAGCATCATTAATGGGTTTTAGAACTGTGTGGTTTTTGTTTTCTAACTTATCGACAATGAATACATGTTACTAATATAATGACAAAGGAAAGTATTTTTAAATATAAATCAGATTTTCATCTGAATTGATTAGAAAATAATATACATGGAGACAGATTTTACATACCCATGCACATTTCATACACAGAAGGAAAAAAAAATGAAGTTTATTTGCCAAATTATTAACACTAGTTATTTCTGTTAATAAGAATCATGGGATAATTTTTACAATCTTCTTTATATTTTGGTGTATTTTTCGATTTTTCTCCAATGAAAGTATTCTACTTCCATGGATATCAAGTCCTTTTAGTCCTAAGGATAATTATTTCTTCACTTGCTTTGTTAACACTTAAGACTACGTCAATCACATGAGGGTTCTCAACTTTACAACTTTCTCAGTTAGTGTTTAAAGGCGAGAGGCAAATACAAGTTAATAATCAAGAGAAGAAGCCACTCCTGTCAGACTAGGTTCTTAGTAAAAATGGGACAGTGATTTTCTCATGCAGTCCTGGCCTGACTTTCAATAGCCGGTATCATAACCACAAATCCAACCTCCCAAATAGCACACACGGACTTTCTCATTAGTTACAACTGTATCCTCTAAATTCCACCACATAATTAATCAAAGGAAAATTCTCTATAGTTCTAAGTCATTCGAAGGGAAATTCTCTATACAATATTCTTAAAGGCAACAAAGACCTAATACTCTGTTATAACTTATTGTTTAATATATTACCTATGTTCTAGCCCATACTCAAAACTTATGAAAATTTACAGAACAGCATTTATATATAAGCCAAATTTAAATGTATTAATTATTTAACATTATACATTTGAAGCTGTGGTCTTACTTAGGTTCTGCCATAGCTGCTTTTCGGAGACTCATGATGAATCTTCCATGATGAAAAGCTCTTCCACTCAGCACTTGATTGTTTTCTGATAGAGGGAAAGGAATTTGAACTTCTGATTTGCTTTCTTGATCATGAATTATGTAGCCATTTACAACCTGGGCATCAAGGCCTCCCACTGTATCTGCAAATCAATTCAGTTCAAAAACATCAAATTTGTTTATATGTCCAGAATTAAACAAGGCACCAAGGAGACACAATGGCATAAAAAACGAGTCCCTGCCTTCATAAAGTTATAATACCATTTGGAGAACTGGGCAACTAATATAGCTATTTCAGAAATCTTAATGCTCTGGAGAACAACGGCAGTCTCAGCAAATCCGTAATGTTACTTAAAGATAACCATACAGGAAACTGTTTCAGGTCTGTAATTCCACATTACCTCAGAAAAACAAGCAAGAAAATGCAATGTGAAATAAAATAAGCCACAATCCTCTACTAAGTAAACCTGTTCTGTCCACAAGGATATAGTAACACATTTGGTCCTTATCATCATTTTTCAAAGTACGAATATGTGTGGTATTGGCACAACAGAAATAAAGAGAATAAAATAAAATGGTAACTCTTAAAAAAAAATTGATACATAAAGAATGAATATATGAAAAGTAGATTTTCCAATCCAAACGGAAAGGGTAGGATTATTTCCTAATGTTCCTTTAAAAAACAACACACCTCTTGACCTCACATCTACCTCCAGTTACCACACATTTCCCCAGCTCCTTTACAGCAAAGCCCCTCAAAAGAGTTATGACTCCAAACAAGCGTTCATTCCTACTACTCCACTTGACTTCCACATTGTTAGACTCAGCAGTCAATCTTACTCCACCTCTCAGTAGTGCAGGACATGGCTGGATAATCATTCTCTTTGTAAAGCACTCTCTTCATTTGGCTTCCAGGACTCTGCAATCCTTCACTTTCCTCTTCCTCACTGACTGCCCCTTCTCAGTCCCTTACTGATCTCTATACATTAGAGTATCCCAGGGTTTAGTCTTGGACTTCTTCTTGATTATGTCTGCTAGTCTCATTTAAATATTATGCCTCCTCTCTTTCTCTCGTACCTGACATCTGGTCCATCAGCCAAGTCCTACCGGCTCTTCCAGAATGTGATCACTTCCCACACCTCTACTGCGATTAGCATGTTCCAAGCTTCTAATAGCTCTCCCTGCTTCTGACCTTGCCACCTGATTATCTAGTCTCTTTTCCACACAATAACAATACATCTAAATCATACTTTTAAAGTTTAAGTCATATTTTATAACTCCTTAAAATTGTCCAATGGCTTCCCTTTAGACTAAAAGTGCATTTTTATAGTGGGCTACAAAGTCCTATGGAATTCAGTCCTACATTAGCTATTTGGTCATTTTTCTATACTCATCTTACCTGATCTTTCATTAGCAAATCCATGCCAAAGCTGTCCTTTCCCTTCTTCATATATACCTATTCCCTCCTACTAAAACATTCTCCTCTCCTAGATTAAGTAACACCCAACACTTCTGGCTTTCTTCTACCATTCTGCTAGTTCCTTCTGAGTCTCCTTTGAGGGCTTTTCTTCCACTATCCACCTTTAAACATCAGTTTCCCAGGACTTGCTTTATTCTCCCTATACTCTCTCCTTAGTTAGTCAATCACTGCCATGCCTTTTAAATACTGCAAATACGCACACATCTAAATTTATAATTTCAGCCAGCCGAAACCACTCCTCTGAGCTCTGGATTCATATATTCAACTTGATATCTCCATTTGGATGTCTCAATAGGTTCCCCTAAAATTTCCTCCCATACCTGTTCCTCTCCCGGTCTTCTTATCAGCAAATGGCACTACCATCTACCAGCTGCTCAAGCCAAAAAATCCAGGAATCATCTTTGATACCATCTTCTCATCTCTCACATTCAATCCTTAAGTAAATCATGCTATTTCTGCCTCTTAATTTTACCATGACTCTGTCCACTTCTCTTTATATCCTCTGCTACCATGCTAGTCCAAACCACCATCTATCATTTGGACTTAACAATGAACCTCCACTAGACTCCTTGCATGTACTCTTGCTACCCCACTGGCACAATCTTCAGTCTATTCTCCACACTGTATCCACTTTTTTTTTTTTTTTTTAAATAGCATTCTACAAAATGCAAGCTGTGACCCAAAGGTGAACTAGAAATTGAATTTCAAATTGTGAATTGTGTAATTGGGTGAATCATGTAAGTATTTAAAAAAAAAAAAACTAAAAAATTTTAGTCAGATATATACATATATACACACATACAGTGGAGACCTGGTCGCCCAGTGGTTAAAAGCTCAGCTGCTAACCAAAAAGGTTGGCAGTTTAAATCCACCAGCTGCTCCTTGGAAACCCTATGAGGCAGTTCTACTCTGTCCTATAGGGTCACTATGAGTTGGAATTGACTCGACAGCAATGGGTTTGTTTAATGGGTTTTACTATATACCAGGTACTATTCTGAATGTTTTATGGATATGAATTCATTTAATCCTCATAATAACCTATGAGGTGGAGACTTTTACTATGCCCATTTTACAGATAAGGAAACTGATTCACAGGAGGTTAAGTAATTTGCCCAAGGTCATAAGCTTTTAGGTGCAAGAGCTGGTATTCAATCACAGGCAATCTGTCTCCAGAATCAATCCTTGTAATTATTAATACCACATTTCCTACCACACACACCAAGAAAGTTCCTTCTAACCTCACAGCCTGGGCATATTCTGCACCCTGCTCTAGAGAGTACAGTTTATCTGTCTTGTTCCCCAGTTTATCCTCAGTACCCAGTACAGTACCTCACACAAAATAGGCAGTAAATAAATATTTCCCAAATGCATTGCTGCTGCTTAGAAGACATTGGTTGAATGATGCCTAAACAAAAGTTTGAGGTAATAACACTTACTAGAACAGGCATACAATAAGCATTCTACAAATGATAGTTCCCTTCACTATATTTCATGCTCTCACTCTAGGAGCTTTCCAGGTCCTTTATTTTGACCATTAAAATTTTTAGCCACTTCATTATATCTCATTAAGTCTACTTCATATCTCCATATACAATTAATTGCTTTTTTTTTTTTTTTTTTTCTTTTACACATTTTGTAATTTTTTTTTTGGAATCAGAATAATCTCCTTATATGCATATATAATTGCTCAGAAACTCGTATTGGCAGAGCATAGTAAATTTTTATAAATGAAAATAAAATGGAGTATCTTTTTACTAGTCATAAGACAGTCTAAACTGTTTATACCA